GCTGGTGCGGCGCCGGGCGGGGCTGCAGGCAGGAAGTCCTGCTCGGACACTCAGCACTGGCTCCGCAGCGATGGGACCAGAAATGACACGTCCCCTCACCTGCCCCACCTCTGACTGTGCCACGTGGCTGAGTTCCTTCAGCTTCCAGACATGGGGGCACCTATTTCTATGCAGCACAGCTCCCACCACCCAGCGTGGGATGGACAGATGGAGGCAGCGCCCCTTTCCTCTGCTGCGTCCTTGGGCTGGACCCCAGGGCCTGCTGGTATCGAGGGCGTGGCCCCCCGAGGCTGCTGCAGCCCCGCCTGCTCGCAGCAACAGCCGCCAGGGACGGAAGTCGGAAGTTGGCACTGATGCAGCCGAGGGCTGGGAGGTCCTCCCTGTCCGTGGAAAGCACTTCCTGTCCCTTCCCGCCGCCCCTGGCAGGCGGCCACTTCCACTAAGACAGCCCTGAGCAGAGATGTTGCAGCAGGAGCGGCTGCCCCCGACCCCTGCTGCTGGCCCTCAGGCTGGCGAAGGGCACCCGAAGGAGGCCACTCCACTCCAGGGCAAGGGCGCCAGGAAGACAGGCAGAGGACGGGCACAGAGGGCCCTCCAGACGGCGCAGGCTCTGCCCCTGATGAGCTGGCCGCCAGCCACCGGGCGCTGAGGGCGGGGTGACACCCACTGGCTGGCTGTGTCTCAGGGAGGACTGGGTATGTCAGGAGCCCGGGAACCCTGTCACCCTGCCGTGAGCGGGCACCTCTGCCTACCTTGGAGTCTGTGTGGGAGGCACCATCCTTCCTCACGGCATCCAGGTCGGTCACCCCGCGGCTGAAGTCAAGGCCGTCACTACCCGGGAGGGGCACCTCCACGGCGTCGATGTCCGTCTCCTCCGCAGTAGCTGGCGAGGCCCTCTCGGCTCCAGGGAGCTGGCGGCCTGCAGGGCAACAGGGCAGGCGGGAAGGGGTGGGACACAGCAGCGGCGCTGTGTCACGCCAGGAAACACCATAACTGCCCAACATCCTCACCTGTTTCCAGGCAAGTCCATCTGCTCCCAACCCAGTGAGACAGAGTCTATTTTTAAAGTCTAAGAACAAAGACGGCATTTCCTCCATCCTGGACGTGATGTCTCTGCTGACAGGGTGTGGGGACCCTGGGAGAGGGGTGAGTCCTGTCAACCTCATTCCAGCTCAGGGGGCATCAGCTCAGGGCGCGGGCCTCCCAGCCTCGCCGGGGCTGTCAGGCCCAGTTGCATGGAGGGGTTGCGTGACTGCGGAAGAGGACAGGGAGGCTCAAGGCCGGCCCCCAGAGCCTGCTCTGACCTTGCCCCAGGGCAGAGGCCCCGAAGGGCAGTCACCCATCAGACAGGACTTATGAAGCAGCCTGGATGGATCTGACAGAGCCTACGGGACCGAGACGAGGAAGCGAAGTCCGAGCTCTCACTGCACCGGGCGGAGCAGCAGACAAGCCAGAGCCCACAGGAAGCGGTGTCACTCGTGAGACGAAGAGGAGGCGTGGGCGGGGCAGAGGGCAGAGGCAGCAGCCCTGCGGGGAGAGCCAGCGGCTCAGGTGGTGAGGAGGGGAAGGGGCTCGGGGTGGCATGGCACACAGGACTGCAAACGGCCTGTGGGGAGGGGCCCAGCAAAGGCGGGGTCTTCGTGAAGGACTGAAGCAGGCAGCGACACCAAGAGACGCCATTCTTTCACATCGCACAAACAAGAGGTGATCAGCTCAGTCCAAAAGCACTTGAAATGGCTACTTTTTGCCTCAAAACTACAATATTACTGCTAAAATGGCACATACTATGTTCTATGTACTAAATTTAAGGGTTTTACATGTATTACCTTATTTACCCTCATAACCAACCTAAGAGGCAAACACTGTCATTACCCCCATTTGACAGATAAAGAAACTGAGGCACACAGCTGCTACGGCTGGGGCTCAAAGCTGCCAGTCTGGCTCCAGGCTTGGTGCCTTGAACCAGGGCACCATCTGCCTCCCGCCTGGAGTCCACCTGCCCTGGCCCACCTCACCCGCTTGTCTACACAAACCAAAATGATCGAGTTGATTGGTCACTGGCTTGTGTCTCTACCCAACTCTGTGAGTTCCTTGCCAACAGGGCCCATTGTCTCACTTACAGTGTCCCAGAGTCGAGCCTGGCTCATGGGGGACTGGACAAACATCTGTCCAATGAAGGAAGGAACTGGAATAAGGAGAAACCAATGATCAGGCAGTGGTGGTCTGATGAGGTGGGGTGCAGATGTGGGAGAGCAGGTATAGGGGGAGGCACAAGTGTGGGAGAAAGGGACAACTGTGGGGGCATAGGTGTGTGAGGAGAGGCACAGGTAGGGGGGAAGAACAGGTGTGTGTGGGGGAAGGAGCAGCTGTGTGGGGTAGAGGAACAGGTGTATGGGGTAGAGAAATAGGTGTGTGGGGAGAGGAACAGATATGGGGCACAGGTGTGGGGGGACGAACAGGTGTGTGGGGGAGAGGAACAGGTATGGAGGGACGAACAGGTATGGGGGGACGAACAGGTATGTGGGGGGAGGAACAGGTATGTGGGGAGAGGAACAGGTGTGTGAGGAGAGGAACAGATATGGGGTGCATGTGTGGGGGGATGAACAGGTGTGTGGGGAGAGGAACAGGTGTGTGAGAAGACCAACAGGTATGTGGGAAGAGGAACAGATATGGGGTGCAGGTGTGGGGGAGAGGAACAGGTGTGTGAGAAAAACAAAGGTGTGTGGGGGGGAGGGACAGGTGTGTGGGGAAGGGGACAGGTGTGTGGGGAGAGGAACAGGTGTGTGGGGAGAGGGACAGGTGTGCGGGGGGAGGAACAGATATGGGGTGCAGGTGTGGGGGAGAGGAACAGGTGTGTGAGAAAAACAACAGGTGTGTGGGGGGAGGGACAGGTGTGTGGGGAAGGGGACAGGTGTGTGTGGGGGTGAAGAGGTGTGTGGGGAGAGGAACAGGTGTGTGAGAAGACCAACAGGTATGTGGGAAGAGGAACAGATATGGGGTGCAGGTGTGGGGGAGAGGAACAGGTGTGTGAGAAAAGGGACAGGTGTGTGGGGGGAGGGACAGGTGTGTGGGGAGAGGGACAGGTGTGTGGGGAGAGGGACAGGTGTGTGGGGGAGAGGAACAGGTCCAAGGGGCACAGGTGACGGGGGCACAGGTGAGCAGGATGCCCAGGTCCAGCAGAGGTAACAGGTACAATAAATAGCCATCGAGATGGGGAGGGTATCTTCCAGAAGCTCTCTTCTTCCCCAGGGGGGCTGGCTGCTGCTGGGAGGCGGGCTACTTCCCCGGGAACGGGGCCTCTCCCAGGAAACCCTCTTGGGAGTCAAGGAAACCCGTGGGGCAGAGCGGCCCCCGGCCCCCAGCCCCGAGACTGGCCCGGGCAGCTGCTGCCAAGACAGGCAAAAGGCAATAGGCCCCCGGTCGGGATGGGGGGCGGGATGGGGAGGAGAGGACACACAGTGACCGAGGACACATGCCCAAGCCCTGCAGAGGCCCAGAGGGACGCCGACAGGCCCCGGACAGCGGGCCGCACTGCCCGCTCCCACAGCGGCCCCCCTCCTCTGCAGGAAGGGACCCCCGACTGGAAAGCTCCCTGATGAGGGAGGGAGATTCTTTACAAAAACGAGCCTCTCATTCCGCCAACAGGTCAGCTGGCGTGTCGGGTGCCCACAGCACAGGACCCGGCGGAGTCGGCAATGCGCCGGGAAGGCGCTTACAGAGAGGAGAGTCCGACGGCTGTGGGCAGGAACAAGGCAAGTGCGGCCGCAAAATGTGTGACCGGGAGGCGGAGGCAGCCGTCCTCGCCAAGGAAACGTGCCGCCAGACAGGCAGTATGCCCAGCACTACCCTCAAAGCAGGCCCGCTCCCGGCCGGGGCCCTGCCTGGAGGCTTCCCATGAAGCACTGCGCAGCCGGCCCTGGGCCAGGGGTGCCCTCCTGCAGAGCCGGTGCTGTAGGTCACACTCAGAACAGGGAAGCCGCCAACAGCTGGTGCGTGTTTGCACTGCTATTCGCTGGCACGATGCTGACTTACACGCATCGTCTCACAACCCCTGGCAGATGAGGAAAGAAAGATCCAGAGAGACTGGGGAAGCTTACATGCTCGCCCACTGAGAAGTGCCAGGGCCCAGGCTCAGCTGCCCCTGTGGGCTGCCAGCCCCACACCCCCCACACCGTCGGCGTGTCACTTGTGTGACAGTTAGCGATGTGTGCCAGGTGGCGTTTGAGCCGGCATTATCCAATGTTGCTGAGAAGGTGTTTCTCAGGAGAGGTTCACGGGTAAGTCAGCGGACGGAGAGTCACGCCGGTTACCCCATTCGGGGTGGGTGGGTCTCATCCAATCAGGTGGAGGTCTCAGGGGAACAAAGCCCACCTCCCGAGAGGAGGAGGGAGCCACCTTTGGCCTCGAACTGCAGCTCCGCCCGGTCTCCAGGCCACCTGCACACGCGGGCTCTCCACACCGCAGCACCTGCCCCCCTTGACACGAACGGGTGTGTGTCGCCTGATGGTACAACTCACATCGCCCCACAGGCCACACCTACATCTGCACAGAGACAGGAGGGCCCTGCCACTTCCTGTCGTCGCAGAAGCCCATGTGACATGCAGGGAGCACCGCCGACCCGCCTGACCCCGGCCTGGCCTCCTGGGAGAGCCCCACTCAGCGCTTTGCTTCTCATCCTAAACTGCAGGAACCGCACTGGGCCTGACGGTTTTCCTAAAATGGACAGGAAATGTCCACACGTAGAAAGTCAGTGACATGCTCCCAGGGGCAGTGGGATTCAGAAAATGCTGTTAGCTGAGTCTCATGTACAGTCCTGTGATTTGAGGAAATTACCACCAAAGAGGAGTTATTATTTCTAATTGTTTCAGTTTATCTTCCAGATAAAAAATGGAAGCTCTCAGGAAAATGTCCGCACTGAGGTTCCCAGGATGGAAGAATTCAGAAAGAGGAGCAGAAGCCCTGTGGTGGCGGTCAGCCCTACCCTCCGATGGGAGCAGAATGGTCTTGGGAGTCAGATTTGGCAGCAGCAGCCCTGCCTTTAAAATGTGGTTCCTGCCTGACCGGTTTGGCTCAGTGGATAGAGCATCGGCCTGTGGACTCAAAGGGCCCAGGTTCGATTCCGGTCAAGGGCATGTATCTTGGTTGTGGGCACATACCCAGTAGGGAGTGTGCAGGAGGCAGCTGGTCGATGTTTCCCTCTCATCGATATTTGTAACTCTCTAACCTTCTCCCTTCCTCTCTGTGAAAAAAATCAATAAAATATATTTTAAAAAAATAAAATAAAATGTGGTTCCTGATGTCGCGCTTAAAGGCTTCCTTGTTTGACAGTTTAAACACATCAACTGTCTGCTACAAGAATACATGCTCCTTAAGGAAAATTTGGAATCTAGAGAAGTAGG